AAGTCACTATTCTGCTCCCACAAAAGAAACAAAACAGGTGCAAAGCACGAACATGAGTGTCTTGACTCGACACCCATAGCTCACTGGTTAGGGCACCAGCCACATACAGCAGGGCTGGTGGGTTCAAAACCATTCCTGGCCTGCTAAAGACAACCACAACAAAAAAACAGCCAGGCGTTGTAGTGGGCACCTGTAGGCCCAGCTAGTTGGGAGGTTGAGGCAAGAGAATTGCTTAAGCCCAAGAGTTTGAGGTTGCTGTGAACTGTGATGCAATGGCACATACTGAGGTTGACAAAGTGAGACTATCTCAAAAAAAAAAAAAAAAAAAAAAAAAAAAAAAAAAAAGGAAAGCCCATTTTTTCAAGCAGCAAGAAGACCTAGAAATAAGGAATTACAGTCACTGAAGGAATTTACAAAGTACAAATACAACTGCCTCCTCCAAGGAGAGGCATGACTGATCAGTGATTAGCAGCATGAATTAGCCTTCAATTTAACAACTTCCCACAGTACATAAAAAGGAAAATACATATTATTCAACCACTTAGGAGGAATCAACTGATACTACTGACTCAGTACAAGTAACAGAAAATTTTCTTTGCTACAAAGAATTACTCACTTTGGACACTCTTATGAATAGAACATGGGGAAGAGATATCGTCAACAACTTTCAAGATAAATGTTGTGAAGTTAGACTGAATTTGGTAAATTTAGTGAGTATATGTACAGACAGTGCACCTTCCACCTTCCATGACAGCAAAACATGAAGGGTTTATTGCACAGATTTTAAAAAGTATGCATGTCCACTCAGCACCCCTAGCACAGTGGTGAGGGCGCTAGCCACATACACCAAGGGTGGCAGGTTCAAACCCATCCCGGGACAGCTAAACAACAGTGGCAACTGCAAAAAAAATAGCCAAGTGTTGTGGCAGCACCTGTAGTCCCAGATAGGTGGGAGGATGAGGCAAGAGAATCACTTAAGCCCAAGAGTTTGAGGTTGCTGTGAACTGTGATGCCACTGCACTCTACCCAGAGTAACACAGTAAGATGCTGTCTCAAAAAAATAAATAAATAAAAATAATAATAAAAGTATGAATGTCCAGGGGCTCTCATTTATTTTCATTGTATCTTGCATTAGCAAAATGTCTACACTAAAGCTACAATTTTAAGTGACACTTTGCAACAAGTTGTATCATTAACTATATTTCTGCAACTGCAACATGGCATTGTCAGTTTCCAGTTTCCTAACATGCTAAACTTCAGTGTGTATTTACATATCATTCCAAAGTGGCTATCACAGGGACAGGTGTTAGCCAAAATTTTATCTCTGCAAAAACAGGTAGTTAAATTTTATGAAGAACAGAATAAGGAATGTGAATTACGGAAATAATATTTCTAAAGAAATGCACATTCCTAGGCTTGGTGCCTGTGGCTCAAGTGGCTAAGGCTCCAGCCACATACACCTAAGGTGGTGGGTTCGAATCCAGCCCAGGCCCGCCAAACAACAATGACGGCTGCAACCAAAAAAAAAAAAATAGCCAGGC